TATTTATTAATTATTAATTAATCTATAATATAATTAGTAATTAATTATTAATTATTTAATATAACTTAACTTTGTTGATAAGTACTAGAAAATGAAAACGGAAAAGGAAAAACAACTTTCAATCGTTTTCTACTTTCTTCACAAATATCATTTTCATTGTTTTTTCTTTTCGTTTCAGTTTTCAAAACTTTTATTAAACAAACGCGATTTGTGGACCGTTTTAGTTTGTTTGCCTCAAAAGACGTGCAAAAATATTTTCGAAAATAATTTCAAATACACTCCAAATTTTCAAAACCCATATTTTGTAATCTCTCTCCATTGTTCGATCACAAATCTTCACTTCCACAACAACATCCTTTGTCACCGCTTCGACATCGCCGTAATCATATTTGGTCCTTTTTCGCCGATCATATTTATTTGTCGTAGCTCTATAGATATCCTGTCAGCAAGCCATAACCAAATTTGTGACTTTCATAACTAGATCGCGCCTTTATCGTAAGATCTGCGACATTATCCATCGACGCCTGAGCCCTGAAGAGCTCCCCTGTGGAGATCCAATCATGTCGCCGATGCGAGCAAATGTAGTCTGGTGGATGAAATCCTTTTAGTTTTCAATTCACTTTTTAGCTTTTGTTTTCCTAGTAGAAGATTCCAGCATTCTTTAAAATTTGTATGTTCTTTTTTATTATATTTTTTTAGATCAAAAAGTATTAAATTCATATTACGATATGTTTCCCAACTTTTTTTAATAGCAACGTCAGCAATTCATTAAAATAACTGAAGGAAGTCTACCGAGGGGACGTTTTGAACTGTTTGTTATATATCAAAGGGCGTATTGAACGATGTTGAAAATTTAAGGGGCACATTAAAAATAAGGTACATACTTTATAGGGTATTTGTTAGTTTTGAAAACGATTTTCAATACAGAAGCGTGTATCTAACGAATCATGTATAACAAAATTTTCATAAAACTTTGAGATACTCTATAGATTACATTAATTTATGTACGAATAAATTAATCAAATTTATTTATTTACATAGCGAACGATTCGGTCGATAACTTGAGTTCTTTGACCACGAACGTTCCTTGCTACAAGCTTGTTTAGAATACTTGAATCTTCTTCGTCAATTCTTTCAATCTACGAAAATGTGTGTGTGGGCACACCTAAAACAAAATGGGATTAACAAATAAACACTCAAGCTTTCCACAAATACCAACACATGCATGACGTGGAATTTGGAAGAAAATTTTTCCTTTCCTTTCTTTATAAAATTCGGCCACCTATGCTAAGGAGAGCAAAAATTGTGTTCTTCAATTTTTTACAATCTCCTATTTATAAAGTAGTAGTCAGACTCCCAAAAAATGTATAAACTTAATCTCCAAGATAAAGTTTGATAATTATCTCCCACTTCTAATTGACTTTGAAAACAAAAATTGACTCTCTCCCTTATCCCATATGGCCGGCCACCGCATGGAAGAATCACAGGGAGATTCCTCCATGTGGTAAATGCAAATAGCAAGTAGGGAAGAAAGCAAAATTATGTTTTTAACCTGCAGTCCAATTTTGACTCAAATTCAAATTCCAATTTTAATCAAACTTAATTTAATTTGAATTTCAATTGGACAACTTATCAAATAAGTCATTTGGATAACTCAGAGAGCAAGCAATTGAATCCCAGAGGGATTCACACTGCATATGGCATGTACACCACGTGGATACCTCCACATATGTGTTCTAAAATTTAAAATAATCACATTATTTAAGTTATAATTAAATCTCAATTAATTATTCTTAAGCGTTTTATTTTAGAATTACATAATTCTAAAATTTTCATTTTACCCTTAGTGTCTTGTAGAATTACAAGAATGACGTGGGGACTCATGGGTCTGTAATTCTGAGCTCAAATAAAATTAATAATTAATTAAAACTTTTTAATTAATTAATTAATTTAATTAATTTTAAAAGTTACTCCACTATAAACTTAGAATTGCACTCTCATAATTATATATATAAATTACTTCTAAACTGTGAAGTGTCCATTTGATATAATCATTACATATAGATCATTCCATAAATAGTTCATAGTTAGAGCTAGGTAAAATATGTTAATCTCTCTAATTACATCTTTATCCTCGAGTACAATTGATTCTCTAATAGATAGTGATTTATAAAATAAATTCATGAATCAAAGCTCCTACTAGTCCAAGTACTGAATCAATCTTTAAGAGAATTATTTATCTACTTTTTTCTCAAGAATGAATGGATTCCATCTCATGTATTAACATTCTCGGCTGCTCACTTCATCATGTCTCCAAAATACAAAGAATAGGATTCAACATCTCGAAATCTGTCCCGACTAAATCAAAAGACACAAATCCATAAATATGAGTCTGTTAATAACTCATGATTAAGATCACTCTACATATGATAATCGGTAGACTCAATTAGAATTTCTATGCTTTACGCATAATTCTAAATTTTTCATTTTACCCTTAGTGTCTTGTAGAATTACAAGAATGACGTGGGGACTCATGGATCTATAATTCTGAGCTCAAATAAAATTAATAATTAATTAAAACTTTTTAATTAATTAATTAATTTAATTAATTTAATTAATTTTAAAAGTTACTCCACTATAAACTTGGAATTGCACTCTCATAATTATATATATAAATTACTTCTAAACTGTGAAGTGTCCATTTGATATAATCATTACATATAGATCATTCCATAAATAGTTCATAGTTAGAGCTATGTAAAATCTGTTAATCTCTCTAATTACATCTTTATCCTCGAGTACCATTGATTCTCTAATAGATAGTGATTTATAAAATAAATTCATGAATCAAAGCTCCTACTAGTCCAAGTACTGAATCAATCTTTAAGAGAATTATTTATCTACTTTTTTCTCAAGAATGAATGGATTCCATCTCATGTATTAACATTCTCGGCTGCTCACTTCATCATGTCTCCAAAATACAAAGAATAGGATTCAACATCTCGAAATCTGTCCCGACTAAATCAAAAGACACAAATCCATAAATATGAGTCTGTTAATAACTCATGATTAAGATCACTCTACATATGATAATCGGTAGACTCAATTAGAATTTCTATGCTTTACGGAAATTATCAGAAATTCATATTGTGTATGTGTCTCGGTTTCACACAATCTCATTATGTGTAATACACTCATTTAATATCTCACTATATTAAAAGTGCAGATCATACCATTCCATTCTAAATGGGAATTACATGTATTAGTAATGTTTTAATTAAAGATTTCAAACTTTAATTAAATTCATTACGAATATTATTTTGATTATTATCCTTAAATATTACCCTCTCACATATTTCACGTATATACAATATTTAAGGTCACATAAATAATCACATAATTTTTAGTGATATTCATAAAATATTCAATAATATATGCACATAAAATAATGAATAAACTCTTTTATTAAATTAATAGTAAATATCTTATTACATCTCATCTCATGCTCCCAATATATTTTCCAAACATTACATTACAAGTTAACATGTTTCTTAAAATAGAATGGCACCTTATTGTCATTGGAAGAAAAAACGACATAAACACTGAGCTATTGTCGTTCCTTTCAAAATACGTCAAGTAGTTGTCACAAATTGAGATTAAGATAAACGACATGCGGTTTTGATTTCGGGAGAAGCCACATGTCATTTCTGTTTGAAGGTAAACTACAGGGGCATACAATTTGTTGTTAATTGCTTTAGAAGAGGGAAAAAAAAAGGAAGACAAATTTTAAATTTTTTTTTGTTTTGAAGGAAGACAAATTTGACTTTAAAAGTGAGTAAATGTCGGTTTTGCAAAACGACATACCTTTTATTTTGAATAACAATTAAACGACATGTCGCAATTCTACTCTTGAGAATAAATACGACAAATCGTTTACATACAACGAAGCAGTACAACTAAACGGCATGTCGTAAGGCACAAGAAACTCAGAGATCCCAATATCTCATATTGTCCTTTTTTTCTTTTTTTTTTTGCTGGTCATCATATTGTCCTTTTTTAGTACTCACCAGTCACTCCCAAGCATTTCCCGCCAAAAAATCCACACGCCTGAAACTCTTCCCGCCATTTCAGAAACCAGCCAACCTCATGCTTTTCCTCTCCCCAGTTAGGGTTTAAGCAAAGTAAGAATCTTTCAACAATTTTTCAACCAATTAATTGAAAAAATTTCCTCTTTTCCTGTGCAATCCTCGCTTTCGGCTTAGCGTTTTCTGCGTTTATGCACAGATCTTCTGGATCGAATCAATCTTCGAGGTATTTTGCGTAGATTAACTCTGTTTTACTCGTCGTTTCTTTAGTTTTTAGAGTTTGAAACGATGACGAGAGAAGAAGTTGAAGGTGGAAGGGACGAAATGGAGATTGACGGATGTGAACAAAGGGAAGCGAATGCGATTCCCGAGGGATTTGATGCTAATTATCTCAAAATTTATTACGGTAAGCAAGCGATTCGGGTTCTCGTTTGCTTCATTTCCTGGTTTACATTCACTTGCCTCTTATCATTTCATTGAATTTTAACTAAAGGATTTGATTTTCCCAAAATTTGGTTCTCTCTAGCAAGCTAGGAAATGAGTTTTTTTATTTTTTATTTTTTTATTTTTACAAACGAGTTTATTCGTTGCAGGGAAGCTATTTCCACATGCCGATATATATAAATGGATGTCGTACGGAAACGGTGAGCTTTCAATTTTTGATTTCTCTGTGTTGTTGATGGCATTTTTCTTGACACCCACAAGTGTTTTTGTGTGTGTGTGTGTGTGTGGATGATTATAGTAATTGGTTGCTGATATGTAGATGGGAAGCATCCTGGGTGTGATCAGTCCTATTTTGGCAGAAGGGAATTCTCTTTCACCCTGGAGAATGACATTTATTTGCGATTCCAGTCTTTCTACGGCGCGTATGAGCTCGAGAACTCCATCAGAGAAAACTGTCCTGTTAAAATCGATATCGGGCCTGTTTACAGCGTCGACGTAAGTTTTTCATTTTTTTAATTAAATAAATTCTATATTGTTGATCTGAGCTTTTTCAATAGTGAAATTATGTCCAAATTGACACTGTAAATTGAATTCCATCCGATGGAAGTTCCTTATCTGCTAAGCCTACATTGTGTGATCTTGCAGTGTAAACAAGCATAATGCCATCGGCGAATTGATTCTACTTATATGGACCTAATATCTCAGATTCTTTTTGCAACATAAAGTTGGGTCCTAATATGTACCATATATTTAGCTTCAATACTTTCATGACATAAATTTTGATGTACCAAATAAGTTTGAAACAATCAAGAATTTTAACTTCTGTTTATGAAAACATGGTATTTTACGGGGATTTTGGCCATGTTTTCTCGTGCGTTCTAATTCCTCTCTATCCTTGTTTTTACGTAACATCATAGCTTTTTCCTTTTCTCAATGATTATGTACTTCTTCCTATTTATGTTGCAGCCTGCAAAGAGGCGTGCATATGCACAAACTGGTGATAATGTTTTCACTCCGGTGGAAAGGGAGCTAATTTTCGATATAGTAAGCTAATCATCTCTTGAATTTGGTAAATGATTGCATTCTAAACTTTTTTTTTCTCCGTTAACTGGAAATATTTATTCTTCTCCCTGCAGGATATAACAGATTACGATGATGTTAGATACTGCTGCTCTGGGGCCGATGTTTGCTTTGCATGCTGGCCACTGATGACAATAGCTATCAAAGTTATTGATACTTCCCTCAGAGGTTGGAACTTGGACTTATAATTGTTGATGTGCCAGGTATATAATGTTACAAACATTTGCTTTACACTGTTTTAACTCTTTTGTTGCAGATGATTTTGGTTTCAATCACATTCTGTGGGTGTATAGTGGGAGACGTGGTGTTCATTGCTGGGTTTGTGATGGGAAAGCAAGAAGGTAGTGCACTTATAGTAGAAAGCCGTATCTTCATTTTCCTTTGTTTTTTTGTCTACATTATGAGAAGCATGGATTTCCAATGTCCTGCTGTCTTTCCTACAGGTTGACTAATGAACAGAGGGGAGCTATTGCTGACTATTTCCGCGTTTACAAGGTGATATTTGTTTAAAGATACATGGAGATTTCAACAGATCTTTTAGATTGTTAGTGGAACTCACTGATCTCCTTACAGGGAAATGAGAATAGTCATAAAAAAGTGTCGTTAACTGGACATGCTCTTCATCCGTTCCTTGCGTAAGTATTGGCATGCATTATTTCTTTTTGTGAGACTGAACTCCTTGTTTCCCCCTCTAATATTAGTTTGTTCCCACAGGAGATCATACACCGAAGTTCTGAGGAACTTCTTTGAGCTGAAGCTGCTTCCAAGTCAAAATTTATTTTCAACCGAGGAGAGATACGAAAAGATCTTGGACATGATTCACGACGAATGTATGCAATTAGCAGATCACTTTATATAAATGACTTTATATATAATGAGTCTTATTTTCCTTGTGATAATTTATCAGAATTTGATTTGCATGTCACCTTTGCAGCTGTTAAATCTGAGCTTCGTGGGAAGTGGCAGGAGAATAGGCGCTCTACCTCAAAAGAAGACATTAATGTTATTCGATGGGAGCAGCTGAAAATTTTGCTGCAATCAGGAAAACAGAAGGTATGAACCAGATGTATGGAACATTTTTTTTAATGTTTAGAAAATATGTACTTTCCTGGCTGATGGTTAAACCTCTGGCACATCTAGCATGAATATTTTGGGAATTCCATTTAGAGTTCCTGAGGCATTCCATAGGATTATTTTTTCAATATATAGATAGTTTGGAATGCCCATGCATCTGGTAACATTATGACGTTAATAAGGGGGTTTAGTTTAGTTGATAATTGGTATTTTTGTTCTAACAGTATGTAGATATTGTTGGTTGTCAATTTCAGTAGTGCTTTAGATTTGTATCGATGCATTTCAATGCTTCATACATTATTACATTGCATTTCAAGTTTGTTGTATTTTCGTGCCATTTTTAGTGCTATTTACATTAGCAGTGTGGTACCATTAGCATACTTGTGCTCATGCCTTGCACTATGTGCCGACTAGATCCGACGCTTGTTAGTTCATGCATCAAATTCCTTCATATTATTCGCACTTGTGAGCTTGAATTTCCCCTTTTTATATTCCATAGATGTCATTTCATTCCTAGAGGAACCTTATGTTGCTTTTCACTATTACATTGTCTTAGGGACAAGGGCTGCGGAGGGGCATCGAAGAGATTGTTTTTTCTTATACCTACCCTCGCCTTGACATGGAGGTATTTTCAGAACTCATTTTATTTTTGCTCTTTTAACAGAATTTTATACTGTATAAAATATAGATAAAGAATTTGATACTCTTTATGGAAGTGAAATCATCTACGCTAGGAAGTATATATATTTTCCTTGACCGGGACCTATTCCTTTGTCAGGTTTCAAAACACATGAATCACTTGCTAAAGGCACCGTTCTGTGTACATCCAAAAACAGGTTATTGCCCTCTGCTTAACAACTCTCAATATGGCCTACCATCAGCCACTCTTTACATATTAGCCTTTATTTTCCAACTATGCACAATTGGAACTCTAGGTGTCTATCCTCTAAAGGTTGCTTTATTTAGTATCTCTTCTGTTCTAGGTCATGTTTGCGTTCCAATTGATCCAAAAAAATGTGAGGAGTTTGATCCTACTACGGTACCAACTCTTTCCAAGGTAATCATGTGGTTGATCGAAAGTTTCTTCTTTATTTGCATTTTTCATCTGTTAAGATCCTTATTAGTGCAGATAACTTTTTTTTTCCTTGAATGAGAAACAAAATAGATTCTGGTATAGTATCGTAGTGTTGAATTTTCATGTGTTCCTATGTGCTGTTAGTTGTGTAGGTGATAAAATATCCACTACTGCCTTTTTTTTCTTTTTCCAATCAAATGGTTTGCCCAAAATTCCTATCCCTTTGGTGATAAGAAAAGTTTTAAGATTCAAGTTTCACGAAACAAAATTCATACATCTTCTTTTTATCTGAATAATTTCTTATCTGATTTTGTTAAATTTTCAGCTTTTACAAGAACTTAACATGGAAGGGGCGAAATCAGAGGTCGAGAATGGTGTGTTTATGCAGAACTTGGATCATTGCATTTGAGACGTGCTTTTCTTCTGTTAGTAAAGATGCGCTAAATATCTTTTTTCTCAATTTCAGATTGGGACAAAACCTCGCTCGGAAAATCAATCAGGTTCTTCAGAACATCGTTCTTGCAGCCACTACTGAAATCTTGCAAGGTATATCACATCCTATTTTTATGCTCCTCTTAGTTTAGCTAGGAAATTGACGTATTGCATAAACAGTGCAAGAAGCTTGTGATAAAAATTTTCTGATTCTTCAAAGGGATAAATCTCTTCTTTCATTCAAGTCCTTTCTAGGAACACCAAGGAGGAGCATTTGTCTTAATGCACATGCTTTGACAAGGACATGTATTGATGGTCGAATTGCTATTTGACTTTTCAACGAGATATTTTTCCAGAAGAGAGCTATGTTAACTAAAAATAGCAATTTGTTTTCCCCATAAATGTTGCAGGAGGAGATAGAAAGTTCCTACAAGACAAAACTTCAGCATTCAAAGAACTCCATCAATTGGTAGAGCTTTCCTCGTTATTTTATTACAAGAGACACTCCAGTTCTCAAAGTCCGGATGCACTTTCAGTGTAATTTCATATGAAGAAACATATTCTGCAGCTACTGATATGATTGTATATCCCCAACCCCAACTTTTTTTTTTTTTTTTAAATGAAAGTTGTATGACGAATTGTTGTGACAATACATTTTTAGTATTCAAGCAGTCTGACCTGATGCTACATATCGCGTTTCATAATATTCTGGTTAACTAATGTATGTGATATGAATGTTGCCTTCAGTATTTGATTTTACTTGAGAACAATTAATATAAATTCATATTGATATTACTTGAGAGTTGAGACCCCTTTGGTGTATTACATCTCAAGCTTTAGATTAATGAGCTTTTGCTAGAGTTAAACTTCATATTAATTCTGGTTTATCCTCCTTGTTAACCTTTTTGTTTATATTATCTAGAATAGAACAAACCAGTACAAAAAGGATGAATACCGCACGGAATTTCTTTATACATGTCTTTTTCTATATGAAGCTCAAATGAAGAGACATCGCTCTCACTCATTTTTTGTCATATAGGCTAAAGGGCCACAAGTTCTCTTCTTGGAGGACAAGGCTGTGACTCATGCTGCACATGACCTTTTTGATAAACTTTATTTTATTTCTTATTTGTGTCAAATCTAGGTCAAGGATTTGCTTTGCTTTCTTGTGTATATTATAAAATAAGAAGAGAAAAATCTCTGTAAAATTTATTAAATTGCTTTTTTTTTTTTGGCTAGAACTTATTAAATTGCTTAAACATGAAAGAACAATTATTAACACCTAAAGGCCCCCTCAGAAATTTTCATATGATTAGCAATTGTCACCAAGAACATTCTTAATGCCTTCATACAAAAACAGAGGCACAAAATAACCTTACAACAAATCCCTTCTAAGAAACTCCAAAATAGCATGAACTCTAACATCTCAAAAGCCTACCCTTTACACTTAATACAGCTCCAAACTAACAAAAAGCGAGACAACACCCAACAGCAAACCGACAACAACAACAACAAAAAAAAAAAAAGAAGAAAACTGAGAATGAATTTCACTAAAAATTTTGAAGAATTTGCTCTCATTGCTGTTCTCAATTAGCAAGAACCTCCCAAATCAAATCAGGATCGAAAGACGGGATCCGAGCAAGCGAAGATCCTTCAAATCCAGAGTCCTCTGCAACAGCAGCCATGGGACACTCATTGGAAACAGAGCACGGAGAATTCTCAGACCTCCAAAACCCGTCTTCGGAAACCGTCGGCGACACCATTTCCGGCCCCAAAACCAGGGGAGAAAACGCGGACGACGACGAAGTCGACGACGAATTAACAACATTCTCAGCCTTACAACCACCACTGCCTTTTCCATCTCCAACAGCCTCACTCTTCTTGGCATTCTTCTTGGCTTTGTTCCTCTTAACCTTCTGGCAGATGGCTTGAATCTTCGCATCCACTGAGCTCTTGAGAGCATTCAACTTGGTCCAATCCCCGAACCCCAAGACACTCGGATCTTTCAAATTCGGAAAGTTCAAGCGGGCATACTCCCCTCGGAGCTTATAGGCCGCCCTGTCGTATGCATAAGCCGCGGCTTCCGCGGTGTCGTATGTTCCAAGCCAGACTCTCATTCTGTTCTGAGGAAGCCTAATCTCGGCAACCCATTTTCCCCAATGCCTCTGCCTCACTCCCCTGTAGAGCTTCTTCCTGTACGGAACAGAAGCCGAGAAAGCCATACTTCTTGCTGTTGTGGACACAGAGACAGAGTCCTGAACTGGGTTGGTCATGGAAAACCGTGAGAAGTCATAGGTTGTCATGTTCTCGGAGCTGAACTTTTGGAGAAGATCTCTTTGCTGGAGGTAAACTGATGAGCCTAATGGCTCCAAAACAGGATTGTTGTTGTCGTTTTTGGTGGTTGTTGAACATGAGGGAACGCAATGGGAGAAAATTGAGTCCAAGGTGGTGGTCGTTCCTCCGGTTAGTATGAGATTTGAAAGCGAAGATCTGATATCGAGACCTTTGCTGAATTGTAAAGGAAAGTGGGTGTCATGGATTCTATCCATGGCTATGGCCAGTTTCTCTTGTAAGAGTTTGAGAAGACACGGAAAATGAACAAAAGAGAGAAATTCAGGAACTGGGTTCTTAAAAAAATTGACCCTTTTTTCCTGATTGGAACTTGAAGAAGAGGTAGACTATGAAAGAATTAGAAGAAAAGCTATGGGGTTTCTTGAGAGAGAGAGAAGATGAAATCTTATTCTTGGTCTAGAGAGAGAGAGATTTTTTGATTTACTAAGCTTTGATATTGAGTTTGGTCTCCTGCTATTTGTATTTATAGAGATACAGAGATATGCGTACTTCTTATGAACTTTTTACCCTCTCTCTACATCATGTGTGCATCACACCAAAAAAAGTTCTAAATTGTTTGACATTTTGGTCCAATTCGGTGATTTTGGAGGGAAGCTTGTCTGCTTGTGTGCATAATGACCAAACTGCCATCATTGAATAAGCAACAAAACGTGATGAAAAAGGGTGTTGTTGTAATTTGGTCAGGTATTATTCTAAAGGGAAGAAGAAAAAACCGTGATGGGGAAAACTACAAAGGGTGAAGATATTTGGGTTTATCTCCGTGTGGTCCCTTGAGATGCCCGTACCTCTACATTTCTAGCGCTTGAGCTCAAAAAGCTACTTTTTTTATTTAGTGAAGCCAGTCAGCTTTTTGAATTTAAAGTCCGCAGGCAACAATAACTTCATTAGGGCCACGCGTCTAGCTTCCTAATAGATCTCCTTCTCGTTATCGTTTCATCTCGTGCATGGAAAAAACTTGCCCTTTCTTCTCTTCTTCAATTTCATTTTTCATAATAAACTACGTGTTATTGTTCATAAGGTTTAACCACATAATATGAAGCGTCTTTAGTGAACTAAATGGAAATTAGCACTGTTTTTAAGAGAATTCTATAGTAACATCATATATGATTAGAGAAACATGACAATTTAACTGAAGAAGTTTTCACTTTTTATTTTTTATTTTTTATCCCAGTATAAAATTTTTCTTCTTTTTTTTTTTTCAACAAAATATAGCAAGTGATTTGTTTAACATTTAGTGTTGACATATTGATCTCTCATCACGTGAGTGGTATCTTTCTAAAACATTTCCATACAAAAACGTTGATTCTGGCATATCTAGCATTTAGCTATTCACCGTAGTCGTTGTTATTATTATTATTATTATTATTATTATTTGCTAATAGAAAAATAGATCGATCATCGTGCCATCATGCCACCACCATCAGTGGTTATTCATCGTAGTCTTTTTAATTCAAAAGTACATGCGTATCCACTATTTAGGGCTTTTTCACTTACTATGGAAGACCTAGTGATATTGCTAATAAACGATAGGGAAAATTTTATTTTAGTAGTACCCTTTGTTATATTGAAATTTGAGTTTTGTACCCTCTGTTTTTGAAAATTCAACCCTCTAGAAAATCTTTTTTTAGCACCTCGGAGCCATTTTTGGGACACGAAAAGACAAAATTATCCTTATTGTAAAAATTCATCTATTGACTAGAATTTTAAAGAAGAAAAAGGATTTTGAAGAGATAAATTTTTAAAAAGGATTATGCTCTCCAGGTATAACAATTTTTAAAATCTTTTTTTTTCCTTCAGAATTCTGGTTAATAGATGAATTTTTATAATAAGGGAAAAAGTCGAGGCACCGACATGAAATTTTCGAAAACCGAAAGTACCAAACTCAATTTTTATATATATATATATATACACACACACACACATGTACACATAATATAGAGGGTCAAAAGGAGAAACTTGATTATTGTGAAGTAAATGTGTGATAGGAAATGAATGAACATCGGAAATTACAAGTAGCGTTAGAAAGAAAAAAAAAAGCAAATATATCATACACATACATGCACACATAATATGTATATATATATATATATACACACACACACACACACACATGTGCAGACGAATTAATTGACATCCCATGCATAAACCCATTGAATGTGAAAGTTTATGTCCACAAATGTAAAAGAAGATTTTCCCCAGTTCCATGGAACTTGAGAAACACATAAATTTGTCGGAAGACTTCTAAAATGCCATGTCGTTTTATTTTATTTTCTCTTGTTTTTTAAAATACCATGTCGTTTTATTCATTGTTACTAAGAATGCATAAATATAAGAAGCCAAAGCACCAAGCCATTATCACGAAAAGGATTTATACTTGTAATTATGATGAACATTCAGCCTACGGGCTTGCGTAGTTAATTTTTTTCAACAAAATAAAACTGTGATATGAACGGACGGAGTCAATTAAGGCTCAGTAATTAGGGCTCAAACCGGCACTAAACTATTTTTTTTTTTTATAAAAATATATAAATATATATTGGATTACAGTAATATATATACATAGGCCCACTACATTTTTTAAAATTTATAAATATTCTTATAGATGATACTAAATTTTATCTTCAATTATTAGTTTCCACTATCAAAAATTTCTAACTCCATCATTAGTCGTATCACACATATTCTTGGGTATGTTGTATATTTTCGCGTGAGAAGCTTGGAAAATTTTTTTTTTCCCCCTTTTCTTTTAAGCCTTGAAAGAGAATCGTCAATAAAAAATTAGCGTAGAAGAAGGAGGACACGAAAGCTAGTGTGATAAGTAGCTAACTTTTTAGTTCAAGAAAGCTCATCAAGTACTCCGACACCATGTAGTGGCCGTATATATGTCAACCCCACAAATTAGGCAGTCATAGCTATATATAAGCAAGCCTAATGTTAAGTATGTATGTATATATATATATATATATTGACCATGTGATATATATACCACTGTTCACTAATTACTACTAGCACTGATCAGTTGCTACCTATTATATATGTGTATATGTATATAATATATTCTAAATGATCATAGCTGGATTTCCATGTATCTCACTCTCCAAATTTGTATCAACAATATATAACGAGTACATTAATAATTAATAATTTCACATTTTTGTTGGAGACAAAACTTTCTGAATGATCAATAGACATGACATAAGATGGTAGCAAATATCTAATTCTCCACTCTCCTTTGTCTCACTTGACAGCCAAAAAGAAAATAACAAATAAATTTAAAAAAAAAAAAAGAAGATAAAAATCACTTCTTAAATTTATTACACGCATGCATTACATTACTAAGTATGGTATGCGGATTTTCTTTCTTTCCTTGCTTTCTTTGAAAACAAACAATAACAATGGTGCATTATGAGAAACGACAACATGTGTGAAGCACATATGTATCCCACAAGCCAAAGGAGGAAAACCTAACACGGACCCATAACATCTTGGCCAATGGCATTTTAGAGAGAGAGAGAGAGATATATATAACAAAAAGGAGTTCAATTTAGACCTTTTTCACAAAACAAAAAAGGCGCAATAAATTCAGAAAGGTACATATTACATCAAAAGTGGAACCCATGATCAGTATGGTGCAATAAATTATTGAGGAGTCAATATATTTAGCATTGAAAAAGGTGATTGCATGATCATCCTCTAGTTGGGAGAAGGAGACAAAGCTCGTGAAGTGACAGTGTTACACCAACAAATTTTCAATGACCTTAAGAGATCCAGCCTTTTAAAGATCAGTTTTGCATGTGAACGGACCTAACTATCCTCCAACAAAAGTCAACTCTAATCCCAAATATTTTGCCTTCTCACTCACGTACTTTCCTTTCTTTCCCATCTTGCCCTTATCTCCCCTCTTCCTGATCTTGTTTTTTTGTAGCTAATAAGTAATATAAAGCATAGCAAATTGCTCCGGAACCCTTAAAATGGGGAAAATAGTCAACCTCACGAGCCACGTCCCTTTCGATTATGTAAGGTTCAAGTTTTAAAATGGGTCTAGGTTGAATTAAGTATGTGATCCACATTCTGTACTATAAGTAGGTTGAATTATGTGATCCACATTATACACTACTGCAAGTAGGTTCAACTGTTGAAGTATGTGATCCATATCTTATATGTAGATATTAATATAATTTTTTTAAGAGACTTTTCTCCAGAAAATAGAGAATTAAACCTTCTTATTTCACATCATATTATAAGTTTAGTTTTCCAAGTAGTAGCTTACACTACTATTTTAAACATCCAAATGCTATACATATACATATATATATATACATATATATATATACATATATATATATACATATATAAGCCTCCAAACGTTGCTTAGGCTTCTGGATAGACTCTATATAATATATATATATATATATATATGTATGTATAGATCATAGAGAGAGAGAAATATCCCTTGTGGACGCTTGCTTTGTGGTGAATTTCCGTTGCAAGATAAAAATTGAAAAATTAGCAGAGAAAAGAAAACTAGAAAAGAACATTGATGTAAATTCATCTTCGAATTGTATCTTTCTTGGCTTGACATGTTTGAATTCTGCGACGATTGACAACGATCATTCATCAAAGCAGGATTCCAATATTGAGAAGCCAGCGTAATTGAGTGGAAAAACAAGGGGCATTTTAGGAATAAAAAGCCGAAAAAGTTGTCTTTTGTCTGTATTCGGACTTGGTCGCACCAAAACAATCAGGCAGACGCCGACTTATCTGTGGTCCTTACTCCATTTCGACACGTCACAGGTTGCGACTGTGATCCTCATAGTCAACAGTTTTTTGCCCACGTGTCTGTTTTTTATTGCTCCGCCGGAAAAAAGCGAAAATTCCAAAATATCGCGGGTTAAGAATTTTTTCCCGAGAAATTCTTCCCCAAGTTTTTTCTTTGTTCCGTCCATACGACACGTCGTAGCGGCCTTTTCAAATAACTATGAAATACTGTGTGGATTTCGGAATCCATCTAATTTGAAGTAGATTCTAATTTTTCTAATTAACATATAAATCTTAGATTATGCTGTCGTGTTACATTGTAATCATCTTCGTTATTTGAAGGAGGTGTAAAGTGGTCCAATAATTAAACTTAGGTAATTTGTCTGGTAAAGATATGCTTTCACACCTGACGTCGACGCGTTGTCATGGAGAATGACGTCAGGCTGACGACGAGGGCCCAAGTCTAGAGAGCCCCTTACATGGGTCTGGAGCCCATCTGATTTCTGAATGAGACGAATCATGGCCAATGGCTAGAAATGAAACTCACTTTACCATTCATGTTAGGAGGAAAATAGGTCAAGAGATAATTAAAATTAATAGGTTAATAGTTTACGTAAGTTAATAAATAAGTTAAATTACTGTTTTTGTCCATAATTAG